GGGCGCCAGGCACGAGCGGGCGTGCCACCCTTCGAATTACTTGAACCGAATCACAATCTTTGACACACGCGGGATATTCGCTACGAAACCACAAGAAAAACTCGAGACGCTCGAAACAGTCGAAACTCTGACTGTTCGCGATCGGTAGACGACTCAGCTGACCGGTAACTCAGCCCCGAAATTTGGTAGAGGGGCGGTTCGTAGGGGCGCGGAGGAATATGGAAGAGCAAAGGTGATATCAAAAGCACAGAATTTCTGTAACAAATAACAAATATAATTGCGTGTACTGTGATATACAAGTGTCACCTCAGGCCGCGTATGACAAAGCGGCAACCGTGGTGATTTCGTCAGTTACGAGGACTGATCGGTGTACGAGCTCTCTTGGTCAATTCTATCTCGACTTTATTAATTCTATCTCGCGGAATACAATATCCCGGTACGCGGGAAATACGCCACGCGCGACGTAATGGCCGATCACACGCCACGTGGTATCGCGATATTCCGAAATTCTGCCGAACGCTCGGCACGCTAACAACGCAACGAATAGTACACTCCTTGACACGAAATGAACACGAAATAACACTTAAATAACGTACAAATGACTTGACTGTGGCAAGGCGAGCGCAACTACTTTACTTCGCGTAATTCTATGCCGGGCGGACGGCGCGGCACCCGGACTCTACTCGCGGACATACAATTACACGGACACGGAACTTTAACGGCGCGATCCGCCCGACAATGAAACCGGCGGCTGACAATATAATTCGATGACGTTCGTCTCACCAAGAGCGGCAGCTAAGGTCTTGTCTCGAACCCTTGTACTCGGCAGCTAATGCGGGATCCGGCGTCCTTCCTCGGTAACGACCACAGCACAAGTGTCGCTCGCGGCTCAATGGTCCTTCCGGCAGCAGGCAGGCAACAGGGTGTCACGGGATTGGCTGATAACGCGCCGATTGGCCCTTGCCCTGCGAGCGCGACGCCCGCGAATCGCGGCGTCGCACGTGATCAGATCGCCCGCAATCGGCGGCGCGAGCTTCAAATTTGATCCGACTTTTCCGGACTTCGGGCTCGCGACCTTCTCTGTTCTTCGGTGGTCGTGTATGCTCGTTCGCCTCGTCCCAGCACATTTCGTCGTCGGCAACCGGGTCCTCGGCAACCGTGAGAGTCCATCGCTTCAATGTAATGTGCTTTCCTCACGGATTGCTGAAAAGAATCGACGGCAGTAAAAGGCTCGCAATAGAGGGCCTCAAGACTAATATCTCTCGTAGAAATTATAGCTGACCTGCGTGCTCCGTACTTCCCGCGACGAGCCAATCGTTCCAATGCCGGTGTCTTCCTCCTTCTCGCCGGTTGGTGAAGACGAAGTTTTACACGCGCAAATTTGGCTATGCCGCCGATCTCTACTTATTGTTACGCTCGTGATAAAAGAAAGGATTAAATAAGGCGCGTGAAAATATAACAAGAAAATGAAATGCGCGCGGATACGCTCGCCTCCCTAAATCGGGGAGGACGCAGGATCCAAAACCGCGCTTCCTCGGTCGGGCATTATGACCCTTGTGACGGACGGTGAAGAAACGTCACATCACAATATACACTGTATGTTACTGCGATATTGTTGCAATAACGGTGATGTATATCATACTGTAATATTTCAGAAATATCGCTACAATATTGCGTTGTGGTATAAATTATAATACCACATTGAAATATTTAGATAATATCACAGCAATACTGCATTATGATATATTATATAACAATATTGTAGTAGAATCACAACAATATTACAATATGATATATCTCATAGTAATACTGCTGCAATGTTGTTGCAATATTGCATTGTAATATATCAGAATACAATATTGTAACAAAATTACAGCAATATTACAATGTAATATATCTTATAGTAATACTGCTGCAATGTTGCTCAAACATGTATTATATTATTGTTTTAATATTACTGCAATATTGTAATTTTGTTGCAATATTGCTGCAATATTAAGTACAGGGAATTTGTAGTAAAAACGAAAAAAATTTAAAAATTACATTTTTAAATTTTTGGATCGTCAGCTATCACTTGACGTAAACATTTTATTAGTGTAGAAGTTCTGTACCTCATATGTACAAAATGCTTACGTCCCCCAAATCGGATTACTTGCACGAATAATACAAGACCTTTTGAGCTACGATTGAAAGCCTAGAAAAAAAGAAATCCTTACGACTGTAAATTTTGGTAATTTATACGCTTAGCTAAGGTAAAGACCAGGGTTGTGCATTTACGCGTAAAATATAATACTCTACGTTTACGTGTAGACAATGTAAACTATTGTTATAAGTGTCATCTATATGTAGACGGTCAGTAGACTATATATATATGTATTTATTCATTTAATAAATACATATAATTTAACGTTTATGTAAAGAAAACTACCATTTGAATAAGAAAAATTCTCTGGTTACATTCTTAATCTTAATTTCGTAGTTAAATATTAATGTTCAAAATACATTAAGAATATTTTAAAGACGTCGTGGTATCTTTAGCCTCTTCCTAGATACATTTTGGACATTTCTGCTGTGGGTAGAGACTGCTTTATAATTTAATTCTTTTATATTGTATATATTAGTGATACAATTTACAAAATTCTACATAGTTTACAAGTCTATAGATTGTCTACGTAGCAACCCAGTGAGAAATGGTTTTTAATTCAATGTCGAATTGTTGTCGAAATCATCATATCGACGTCAATTAATTCGACATCGATTCGACATTGAATTGGTGATCATTTCTCACTGGGAAAAAGACCTTGTAAACATCACGTAGCTTTCACGTAAATAATCCGCATAGACGTAATCTTGAAATCTACGGCACCCTGGTAAAGACACCCAAACAGCACAGTACGTCCAGGATCATCCTGAATATGTCCCAGGACGTCCTGGGACATTTTGAGGACATTGTATATTTACGGGATGTCCTCAGGACGTCCTTAGGATACCTTCTTCAGAACACTTTTAGAACAGCCTCAGTTCAGGCTCAGGACGTCCTGGGGACAGTCTCAGGACGTCGTAGGAATAGCTTCAGGACGTCCTAGGGACAGCCTCAGGAGGTCCTAGGGACATTTTTGTAGGATAGTTCAAGATTTCCACGGGATTATAGATATTGTGTGTATGTATAGAAATTCGATAAATTCTGTGTCATTCTTTAACATAATGATTTAAAATTTGTAATCAGACTAACGACATTATAAATTTTTGGAATTTGCAATTTATCGAATAATGTACTGCAGCCAATATATATATAAATACTTATATATAAAATACACATGACCAAAAATTTTACATTACTATATGTTACAGAATGAGACAGCATCAATAAAATTTTCTGTATATTTAAAGAACAAAATTATAAAAACAACTTGTACAAATAAAATGTTTTTATTGTTCAATATTTTAAGAAAGACAATATCAAATGAGCTATGTAAAATTAACTGAAATAAGAAAGCGATACAAAATTGTGTTTTACTTTAAAACCTCGTGAAAAAGAAAATTAACTAGTAATATAATAGATCGGAAGAGCACAC